TCAGTGGTTGAGCATCAACTTATGAACCAGGAGGTCAGGGTTCTATTATGGTCAAGGTACATGCCTGGGTTGCCTGCTCCATCCCCAGTAGGGGGCGTGCAGGAGGCAGCCAATCAATGATTTTCTCTCATCATTGATGTTTCTATCTCTCTCTCCCTCTCCCTTCCTCTCTGAGATCAACAAAATATTAGAAAAACAAAACAAAAACATTCACTGTTAAGCCTCTGTGTGTGTGTGAAATCTATCCAATGGAGTGAATGCCTTAGAAATATGAGGTTCTGGTTAACATGGGGTCAACTATAATAGAAGTGTATTTAAGTTATAAAAGAAGTTTATGGAAACTTGACAATAATGATATTAGGAATATTTTAAAGTTTCAAGATTTCTACATTCAGATAGATGTCTTTGTAGCTTGAAAATTCACCTATTCTTTATGGTATTTAATAATGTTATAACATGTGGCATCTCTTATTAATAATTCTGTCAGTGTATTATAAAGGACATCTCTCCAGAGCCCTGTTTTGAATGAATAGTTATTTTTTTCTGAGTGAGTTGGCCATATTTTTAGATTTAGTTCTGCTCTAGACTGAATTAGAGGCAGAGAGAGGAGGTGAGGATCAGGACGAAGAGAACCTGTGCACTGAGTTCTAGTTCCATATCAGCTTTGAAGTCTTGGCAAGTTCCCAAGTTAATTCTGGCAAACTTATATATGCCATTTTTTCTTCTTCAAAATAAGGAGGTTCTCATTGTTCTTACTAAAAGGACATTCAGATCTCTTTGAACTCTTCTATAAAAGTCAAATCCTATTTCTAGAGGTAGGTATCACTGCTCTAGAGAAGTCTCTTCTAGAGTTTCCCGAGGGTGTCCTAACTTGCTGGGTACCTCCCCAACCCCACCTAAGTAAGCAGTGTGGTGCCATGGTTAAGAGCATGAGTTCTGAGATTAATGGATCTCTCCATTTTCCAGCTCTGATCTTGGGCAAGCTACATATATTCTCCAATCTCATTTTCAAGTTTAGAATAAAGATAATAATAATTACTAGGGTCCTGAAAGTCAAGTGAAGCAATGCACATAATGTAAGTAGCACAGTGTCTATAACTTAATAAACGGTACAAAACAAAATTCAAATGAGTATATTTGAAGATCTGATTGGTTTTATTAGGTCACAGTGATGGTGAACCTATGACACCTGTGTCAGAGCTGACACGCAAACTCATTTTTTTGGTTGATTTTTCTTTGTTAAATGGCATTTAAATATATAAAATAAATATCAAAAATATAAGTCTTTGTTTTACTATGGTTGCAAATATCAAAAAATTTCTATATGTGACACAGCACCAGAGTTAAGTTAGGGTTTTTCAAAATGCTGACACGCAGAGCTCAAAAGGTTCGCCATCACTGTATTAGGAGATTCATGAATGGGTCAGCATCCCATCTAGCAATTAGGAGTGCTCTTAAAGGTTCTCAAAATGGAAGGTCTTTATGGGAAGAAGGGTAGGGGGAGTTATTAACAAAATAAAAAAGGAATACTCTTGGGCAAGGACAAGGTTTCTTGGGGAAGGTTTTTTATCATGCAAATTGACTCTGTCCCCACTGTGGTGGTGGGGGGGCGGCGGGGGGATGGAGAGGGTGCATATAACAGATTACCTCATTGGTGTTGACCAGAAAATTCCAGACTGATTAATATTATGTGTCTGGGAGTGTTGAAACTTCAATTAGATTAGGTATTAAATCTAGGCTTGGTATTTGGGCTTTTCAGCAAGAGTGACACCATTTTGGGCCTGTGGTTTTCTCTTTACAGTAAGAATTACTTGTTTTCAACACTGACCTCTCCCCTCTTTTACTTTAACAAGATGACAATTAACCTGAAGAAAATGTCAAGTTCTATGTATGAGTTTTTAAAAAATAAGCAAGTACAGGATGAGGAAGTTGTAATTAATCAACCTCATGGTTAATTGACTGTATGTTTCCCCTGAGTCAGCAGTGGGTTGTGAGGGCCCAGCAAGGTTTTTGGCTGCTTTAGTAGAAATTAGAATGCACTTCTATAACCAAGGATATTTTTTCTACATTTGCCTTTTGCTTTTTGTGCAGACCTTAGAGCTACACTCAAGATGATCATTTACACACTGACTTGTCTCAGGGAAGAAAAAAGAGGCAACTCTTGGAGCCATATCATATTTATTCATAACTAAAACACTTTGACTTGCCTCTCAGCATTTTTTTTCACCTTTTGTATATGTAAAACTACCTGATGGTAGAATGCAAAGGAAAAAGGGACATGTTCCTGCCCTCTAAGCATTCATAGTATAGTTCAGGTAACAGACAGGAATAATTACTGCGGTGATAAAAGCTCTGATCAAGGGAGTAGAAGGAAAGGTGAGAGTTGAGAAGTTCTAAATATCCACCAGGCGAGGCTCAAACTGTCACCTGAAAGGGACCAGCGGAGGCAGGTCTGCCCTTGCATGGTCTGGAATAAACCACTTGCTTTTTATAAAAGTTTTTATTTATTGATTTTTATAGAGAGAAAAGGAGAGAGAGAGAGAGAGAGAGAGAGAGAGAGAGAGAGAGAGAGAGAGAGACCAATTTGTTGTTCCGCTTATTTGTGCATTCATTTGTTAATTTTTGTATGTGCCCTGACTGGGTATCAAACCTGAAACCTTGGCATATCTGGAGAATGCTCTAATCAACTGAGTGACTTGGCCAGAGCAAAACCACTTGCTTCTAAGTGTGGGTGATTAGGGAAGATAAGACCTTGTGATTATTAGCTGGCTGTAAATTCCTCAGCCTTGTTTAGCCATCTGTCTCAGTTTCCCCATTTCACTTGCTAAGGAATTTTTCTAGCTTACTGTCCTGTCTCAAAAGGAGTTAAAGTTTAGTTCCAGTTTTAAAGATTCTTTTACCAGACTGAATCTGGTGCAATAGTTGCAAAAAGACCACTCTGAGAGGATTTTATGAGAATGAAGGTACTGTACGGCAAGCCTGCAGACAACGACGTGTGTGTGTGTGTGTGTGTGTGTGTGTGTGTGTGTGTGTGTGTGTGTGAGAGAGAGAGAGAGAGAGAGAGAGAGGGAGAGAGAGAGGGAGAGAAGGGAGAGAGAGAGAGAGACTTTCCCAAATTGGTTTGTCGCTGAACAAAGGATGGAATTTATCTTCATTCAGGGAAACTCATGCATAAACATTGAGGTGAGCTTTCTCATCACATGTTCAGGTGTGGACATTCCCACACATGCTCAGTTAGAAAGCATGCCTATACAT